AACTTTTTAATTTAAGGATACTAATTATTATTACAGTACAGTGTGGAAAAGTTAGAAATAATTTTATTAATAATCTTTGAAATGTTAATAGAAAATTTATGATCTTTTAATACTGTTAATAAAATTTTATTTCAAATATTTCTTTAAATGTATATCAACAACACTGGAATAATAACTAAAAATGTCAAATTAAAAGATGTTTGACAAACAAATTAAACTTCCATAGAAATGAAATATTCTCAATGTAAATTTAAATACATCGAAAACGTACCGCAAGGCATTACAGGGTAGTAATGAACTTTTCGGAAAAATCCAAAAACAGGTAAAGTTTGCTTCTGAGGGGGACAACTTTTGGCACAGAAAGCATAGCAAAATCTTGAACCCCCTAAGTGGGGGTGCCATCCCCCAAATTTTTTTAAATGGGAATGGGGGTCAAGTGGGGGGCCATTAGAAAGGGCTTTTAATTCTCTATACATCGATTCTTACTTTTTGAAAATCGATCCATTATTTTAGAAAATATGCAGCTTTGAAAATACGAACAATATTTTTGACGAGAAATGCGAAAATCGATTTAATTTTACTTCAAAACTTACGGTATTAGCTTGGTAAATTCCTTCAAAAGAATTCGCTGTTTTTTTTTGTGATTTGCGAATTCTTTAGCCTGATTTTGGTGAGCAAAAAATTGTCCGCTTTTTGTTTCGTATTTAGATAGGCCACAAGAAGTTGCTAGATAACTGTCTTGTGACTTGTAGTTGAAGAGTACCAATACTGCCGAGTCTTTTAAATTGATTAATTATGGTGTACTCAATTCCAGAAAGAGTAGAAATTATTGAGCTTTTTTTCAAAAACAATGAATGCGGAAATCGGGTCGCCGAACTGTTCAACCAACGGCATCCTGAGAAACATGCGTCTGGAAAAATTGTTCGCGAATTGGTGGCCAAATTTCGCGAAACTGGCTCCGTTCATAACAAAAAGAGGCAGGTTGAAAATCCGGTACTAAATGAACCTACGGAAATAGCGGTATTGGGGCAAGTGGCAATGGATAGTACGCTGAGTACAATGCAATTGGCTACTGCGACAGGAGTGAGTCGTACAAGTGTCCAACGAATATTAAAAAAATACAAATTCCATCCTTATAAGATTCGGCTAGTGCAAGAGCTAAATGAAGACGATTTTGATCGTCGTTTGCAATTTTGCGAAATAATGACTGAACGAGCGATAAACGATAATTTCCTCTTTAATGTGTGTTTTTCGGACGAGTGTACGTTCTTCTTGAATGGTTTAGTGAATCGCCATAATTGTCGTTACTGGGCTGATACCAATCCAAGGATTTTCCATGAGACACACTCCCAACACCCCCAGAAGTTGAATGTATGGGCAGGTATTTTTGGAAATTCCATTGTAGGTCCTTTTTTCCTTCCTGGAAATTTGACAGGCGATATGTACTTGGATTTACTACAAAATGTCATCGACCCAGCTCTAACAAATATCATAGAGGACGACCCTGCTTACAATGAACACGAACTGATTTTCCAGCAAGACGGAGCTCCTCCACATTACTCGCTCAATGTGCGCAATTACCTAAATGAGACGTTTCCAGGACGCTGGATAGGACGAAGAGGTGCAATTGAGTGGCCCCCTCGGTCACCCGACTTAAATCCTTTAGATTTCTTTCTCTGGGGGCACATTAAAAGCAAAGTTTACAGCACTCCACCTGATACCTTGGAAGATCTGCGAGGACGAATCATTAATGTATGTCGCGAAGTAACACCGCAAGTGCTCCAGAATGTTCGACAACGGTTTGAAGACAACCTGTATCATTGTATGCAAGTTGGCGGACAACATTTTCAGCATTTACTTGACTAATACCGTAAGTTTTGAAGTAAAATTAAATCGATTTTCGCATTTCTCGTCAAAAATATTGTTCGTATTTTCAAAGCTGCATATTTTCTAAAATAATGAATCGATTTTCAAAAAGTAAGAATCGATGTATAGAGAATTAAAAGCCCTTTCTAATGACCCCCCACTTGACCCCCATTCCCATTTGAAAAAATTTAGGGGATAGCACCCCCACTTAGGGGGTTGAAGATTTTGGTATGCTTTTTGAGCCAAAAGTTGTCCCCCTCAGAAACAAATTTGACCTGTTTTTGGATTTTGCCGAAAAGTTCTTTACTATTCTGTAATGCCTTGCGGTACGTTTTCGATGGGCTACCCTGTATACATATTTAAAAAAAACAATAAATTACGACAAATTTATATATTCGGAGCCCTTTCTGCAAGTATTTTTGGTAAATGAAAAGTAATATAGTTATACATATAATGGAAAGATAAAAAAAATATAACAAAAATGTAAAGGATGTCTCATTAGAAATAATAAAACAATTTGTTTATATCTTTTAAAATAACTCATATATAAGGGCCAATAGAAAACGACCAAATTTTTTTGTATATTGAAAACCAATCAAGTTTTGTGTGTACCATTAAATTTAATTTAATCTAAAAAAAGAAAAGGTACATATTATACTAGTTTCTTTGTATCTATTACTTTTAGTCTGTGATCCCTGTGAAAATATGCCAAATTACTCTTTACATGAATAAAACAATTTTTTTGAAAACTTATATTATCTTAAGTATAGGAATATTTTTCATTAGTTCTAGTTGATATTTAGGGGAAAATTAATTTGCACGTGAGGTACCCTGGTGCTATATTTTATTTTTGAGAAACCATTTCATCCAAAAATAACTAAGTATATTGAAAAATATAAAGACAACAAATGTCAATAAAAGCGTAAAGTTAATAAAAAGTAGCTAAATAGGAAAAGATCGATAAGAGTGAAGTCTAGCAACTTGGAAAATAATATTTATGGACAAGTCTGCTCTATATAGATAAATGGTTAGTGCACCTGATTTGACACCCATGGATTTTTTCTTCCAGAAATTCTAAAATATTGATTTTATAATAACCATAATATTTACTACCCGTAAAAAAAATATATTTAAGAAAACTAAAATTCTTTAACATAAGTACGAGGTCTATTCAGAAAACCATTTGAATTACGTGCTAACGCAGATATTTAGTGATTTGCGGTTAGCAGCATTGCGTTGCGCATAACCTTCTCTGCAACCACATGTTCTTGAATTGTTGATATCTCATTTAGTTTTCGTGTTATTGTTATTTGAGTGCAACAAGTTTAAGTGTTAATAACGATTTCTAAAATGTGAGATTTTCTGGAACAACGATGCAATGTAAAAGTTTGGATGAAACTGGGAAAATCTTCCACGGAAACGTCTCAACTTTGAAACAAGCTTACGGAGATGATGCTCTGGGCCGTACGCATTGTTACGAATGGTTTTCACGATTTAAAAGTGGTCAAGTCAAGTCAAAGATCACCTTTGATGATCGAACAACAGAAGTAAAATCTTGTGGATGTTTGTCAGCAACTCCTTAAACAATCCAATGACGAATAAACATTCATGCAAAGGATCATAATGCGAGACGAAGCTGGGTTTACGGCAACGACATTGAGACACAAGTTCAATCATCTCAATGGATCGGCAAAGGATGTCTACGCCCGGCCCCAAGAAAGCACGTCAGTTTCGAACCAATGTCAAAGTGATGCTCCTGTTTTTTGCATTGTGCATTTTGAATTCTTGCCTCAAGGTGAAACCGTCAACCGTGTGTACTGTCAAAGCGTTTTACAATGGTTACATGAAAAAAACTGCTAAAGAAACTAGAGTTATAGCGAGACAACTCGTGGTTCTTGCACCATGACAATGCAGCCTTAACAATTCGGAAGTTTTGTGCCTAAAATCATATTACTGTACTCCTGCACCTTCCTTATTCGCCAGACCTGGATCCCTGAGATTTTTTCTTATTTCCGAAATTAAGATCAGTGCTGAAAGGACGTCGTCTCAGACTATTGATGACTTCAAAACAATTTCGTCATAGGCGGGGAGTAGTTTGAAGGAGACAAGGAGCAATAATGTATAAAATTAATAAAAACAATTTTTAAATTATTATTTTAAACCAATAGAGTTAGTTTTTTTCTGGCTGATCTCGTATATGTTTTAATTAATGGTTAGATACTATAGCTTATATCAAATAACTGTTGGAAAAGTTTTAGGTTCGCTGTTTCATCGACCTTCGAACACTTCATTATTTTACCACAGCAATATATGTATAAATTTTATATCAGAAGATATATTTACTAAAATGATATAACAATAAAACACAATTAACGAATTGCTAAATAGATATTGATATTTTAATCGCAGAAAATATGTTAGTTACTATACTTACAACAAATTAACTGTAACGGGAAGAGGTTTATTAAACATTTTTAGAAATGTTAGAAATACTGCAATTATAAAAAGGTTGGAAAGAGTAGTAAAGTGCCTAGTAAATTTAAAGAGTTTAAATGCGCATATGCATTAATTGCCATTGACATTAGCTTATAAAACCAATGGCATGAAAACAATTTGATATTTCATAAAAATAAATATTCTAAAATGGCGCAACTCTAAAAAAATCCATTATACATATGTGTACTATTATAAACAAATAATCAGTAGTTGCATAATAAAATATTTTTAATAATTCGGAGATAAAAAACATTCCTCCGTAGGTACGTAAATATTTAAATCTTTATTGATGTAAATTAATTTATTAAACTGATTCCTATTAATTTTAAAGTAATATAAACCGTCCTATTAGTCCGTGGGACGCAATTCTATAAATGAATCATATTAAAGTTAAGGACTGATAATTATTATGGATAGGTAGGTGTGCACTCATTTAATGAGTGAGTTAGACAGAAATGATCTCACGTTATAGATATATCAATATTCCAGATTATATTTCTTCCACATTTTATGGAATCGTTATGCTGTAAATATAGAACTGGGTATCTCATTTAAGAACAAGAAAGTGGAATTCCACCGTACATACATTCAATGTTATTTATCACTTTAGGATTACAATGTTGCTATTTATAACTCACCTCTAAATTTTCCTCCCGCATAGCCTCTTTGAATACTTCAAACTCTTTCACAACAGCATCGTCTCCCATTTTTTCAGCACTCAACTATCCTTAAAACAATTCAAAAAATTTATAATTTAGCACATATTTCAAGCGTGAACTAGTGTTTGTCACCTTATCTTCAGTTTGGCTTATTATCTTTCCTAATCATATCAGTGGAGTATCGAATACAAATTCGAAAGATAAACAAATCGTAGTTATTTCTCGAGTACGGTTAACAATCAGGCGTTAACATGGTCTCACCTCGCTGTTTTCGGTTGTTCTCAGCTTTAATGTGTAAATTAGACTAAAATTTGTTGTGGGTATTAGACCTTGAGTGCTATATACGACGTGCTTTTAAAAGATCCATGAATTTCCTATACGGTGCTCGACTATTGCTCATCTCGTATACGTGCTTTTATGTTCAGATATTCAGTGAAATTCATTGTAAACACTACACACAATCTTAGGTCGTTCCAAATTGCTCATTTGTGTAAATATTTGCTGATGTACGTTGGGTTGCATAACGTTCGATGACGAAATTAGTGGCGCCTCGACAAACATTGTAGAACTATAATAGTATAAGATTTTTTTCTTATGTCTAGGTTATGAAATACAAGGATTGCAGGAAATTGAATGAGGAACGTTTTCAGCATACCGCATGCATTACATCTTCTTGATGAGCAGTACTAAAATCAAAATTTCATTATGTGAACATCCATTTGAAACTCAGAACATTAAAAAATATATGAATAATAATTAAAGATGAACTATAATATTATAACTTTTCCATAAAAAAAAACAAAATGGTTAAATTTTTTAACAATGTTAATAAAATAAAGAGGTATTGATAATGATAAGTCCTATTTCACAAAATTACCCAAGTGAGGTTACCAAAAGAATGAATGTTGATATGACTATACAAGATTCAACACTTTCTATAAGTATGTCTTAAAATCAATCTAATATTCATGAAAAATCCAGATATTTTTCTAATAAAGTCAGTAATATTATATCATTTCTGATTTTTTTATACAGAGTGGTCGCCGAGGTATCCTAGATACTTCATGTGTGATTATATGACTAATTTTATTTTTTTCCCGAATTCCCAACGGATCTTGAAATATCGGAGTTTGAAGTTGCCAGATCGTATGGGTAGTCGTTAAAGAGTAAATTATATTGTTGTGACTAGGGGGCTAGGTGATTTGTAATTTAGCTGGGATTAGAAAAAAATGTTGATTGTTAGTTCCTTCTCGTTCATCGTTGACAGTTCGTTCTTTTTTAATTTTTGCGTCATTTCTGTTAAAACCATGCATTTAATTCATTCAAATGAAGAATACGCGAACATTATTTTCGGGTATGGATATTGCAACGGTAGTTCAATAGAACATTCATAGCTCTTCAGTTACCATGTTTGTTGCCTAAATCGACTTATGAAAGAGAAGTTATCCGAAGAAACAATGCTGCAGTAGTGCTTGAGCTTGTTGAAAATGATCCTCGTACTAGTATGAGAAGAATTTCTGTACAAAGTACGGCGGCTGTGGAAGACACTGCGAGAAAACGGACTGCATCCCTATCATGGCGGAGCAATCATCTGGATACTTTTTCAAGAACCCTTTTTTGTGACGAAGTTACATTTACAACAAATTGAATCAACAATTTCCACAACGATTATGTATGAGCAATCGAAAACCCTCATCGAAAAACCCATTCTCAGAGAAGACTCTCCGAGAGTAAACGTCTGGGCTGAAATAATTAATAATGAAGTTGTCGGACCACATTTCTTCGACGGAAATTTGAACAGAGGGATGCACCGGACTTTTTTGTGGAACTATCTCCTCTACTACTTCAGGACATTTCTCTTCAAATCAGAAGGACCATGGTCTTTTTACATGATGATGCTTCGTCCCGTTATGGAAGAAGTGTCACTGACTTCTTCACTGAAAGGTATCAAAATCGATGAATAGGTCGTGGTGGTCCCATTGCTTATCCACCGCGATTTCCGGATTTCAATCCGTTGGACTTTCATGTGGGGACATATGAAGCCATTTGCCTATTCAATGGGAAAGCCTAATTGCAGGAACCAACTCATTGAGAAGATTCATACAGCGTTTGATGAGGTGAAAAACAATATGGAGAACTGGGAGCGAGAACTTTGACAGAGGATTGAGTTATGTATTGCACAAGGCAGTGGTTACATTGAGCAGCTTTAATAATTACACTGTCATGACGCTTTTATTAAAATAAACCAAATTTTTTTCTAAACCCTCTAGTCGTAACAATGTAATTTACTATTTAGCAACTACCCATACGACCTAGCAACTTCCAACTCCGATATTTCAAGAACCATTGGGAATTTGGCAAAAGTGAATAGAATCATTTTTGCTTAAAATTTGTCAAAGAATTCAAATACGAAGTATCTTGAATACCTCGGTGGCCACTCTGTACATTATCGTATATTTTGTTAATTACATCGTTTAATTTTTATGTTATCATTATTTTCAACAAATGTAGGTATTTCTTCCTTTATTTCTGGTTCTGACGAATATGAAAATGATTTCACTGACATATCTTAATTGTTTTTGTTTTCCTTCACTAGTTACGTTTTGAACAGAAATCCTAATGTAATCCTCCTCCTTTACCTCTGTCCTAGAAAGCACAAACACTGTTTTTCTCTATATTACCTAATTTTTATCAACAGTCTAATTTATTTTAGACATTTTCCCCTTTTCTTCTGGTGTCTGGATATTTATTTTCAATTTCCAAAGCCATCGTCATTCCGGTTAAATGGTGAAAGAAGGAACATACTTTGTTTGTTAAGATTTTGAGACTGTCCATTAGATGGTTTTGTATACCTTATCTAATGACAGCACACATCTTTCCTTAACCAAGAGGAAATCCAAGTGAATATATTTCCTCGGATGCGTTTAAGGATTTATTTTGGAAACATTAAAAAAGGTTGAAACAATGAATCCAGATCATTAACAGATACTTTGAGAGAACATGAACCTAGGAATTAAGATGAATCTGAAGAGTAAAAATGGAAATAAATATATCTATCTATACAATTTGGGCTTTTTGAAATACAATCCTGTATTAATAAACTTTAATAGTGCTTTTTAATTTTCTTTCCCTTGTTCTAATGAACTGAGTCTGGTACACAAAATTGACTTAAATTCTAATATCCGTATTATCTTTTACTTAAATCAAAGTCAGCCTAGTTTGTAAAAGAAGGTATTTTATATTATATGTTTCAAACATAAGGTCCAAGTCTGGTTACAGTTCATATGTATATCGTATAATGATATACGAGGATGATGAAATGTTTAAGATATTCAGATTTTTAAATTGTTTTAGATAAAAAGTACTACGTGCTGCTGCGAATGTAATAATGAATATGAAAGTGTACATACGGCTTTATAATTATCAAGAAGTTTTAAAAATGTTTTAAATTTTAATTCATAGTGTACCCATATAAGGAATTGCTCTGTATTAGAAAAGAACTTTTACTATTTTGCTGACGACATATCTATTAGAACATATTTTTTGAAGAAAATGTGTTATAGACAGTTACATATACAATTTTACACTCATAATTTTTCTTAAGAATGCCCATATTTAGGTAGCTTAAATTATTCTAATTTTTTGGACATATGTAGTATTCTTTATATGCCATTGGGATGTTTGCCACATTTTTAGATATTACCTACCATAAAATAAAATAATGTAGCAAAAGATCACAGCTTTTATGTAATAATAGAAAGAGAGGAATTACACCAATAAGTCGATAACAATGCCGTATGTTTCGAAATAATTTTTTTAAATTAAATAGATATTTTTGTAAGGAATTATTAGCAAATTTGGTTGTACAGAAAACAACATGAAAATGAAATATGATGGGAAAATGAACAGCACATAATTATTTACGTTACTTGGAAGTCTAAGATGAGATGTTATTTTGTACTCTCAACTGCTATAAAATATTCACTTTTGGATCCTCGATCTGACAATACTTACAGAACAATTTTAATAGCAACTTAAATATGTTTAATTATCTTTAGTATATTTGTGCAAGGATTTAATTGAGTGGAAAAATGACATGTCTCCAATCTGGAGAGAAAATTGCAATGCCCGAAAACTGAAAATAGATCACGCAGACTGCTTAAAGAATAAAAAGTATGACGTAACCAATTGCGTGAGCGAAATGACGTGAAGATCTATTTTTAATCAGGTCGCGTGTGCTTCCAACAAATATAGAGATTTTGGGGGAAATCGGAGTCAGTAACGTAAGCACTAATATAGTTTCCTATAAAAAATAAAATTTTATTCTATATTTGCATTTTAACAAACTGGATCAGGAAAATAATGTTTAAATTCAAGTTCTTCACATCATCATAAAACACAAATAAGAGAATACCTAATTTTTGCTTACCTATATAATTCTAAGGGTTTTGTAATTCTATAAAAATAAGAAGTAATTTAAAATTTTTTACTTTTTTTACATTTGAAAAAACTTAACTAGTGTGAGTTATTTTTTTCTAATTGCAATTTCCTCCGATCCAAAAATATTACGAATATCATAAATTATTATGGTCTACTTTTTATTCGATTTCTGCAGTATATTTTCGAAAATTCAATTATAAAAACTCTCAACTAAATGGAACATCGCCATTAGTTTGTTAGATGATATTCTGATGAACATGAGAAGCTGATGAGAATTTGATTAATAAGCTGTTTGAAACGAAAAAAAAATAAATTATTACATATTTAATCCTTGGCGCCAAAAGTATCAGTCGTATTGTTTGATGCCATTTTCAACACTTAGATGCTGCAAATCCTTGGGTAAAAGGTGAGATGCAAATGTTTTTATCTTTATCCAAATCTCCTTAGAAAAGGTACAATAATATTTTAAAAAAATGTTTAACTTAACTTTGATACAAATTTAAATCTGTCAGTACTCAAATTTAAATTGAGTTATACGATCTTCTTAACTTTTATGATTTAGTACAGTCTTCGTACAAACCAATGAATAGTAGTTATACCACATATGGATGTGGTTATACACCATTTTAAGTCAGAACTTATACATTTTAATTTTGTGTTATAACATCGAAGCTATTTATTGTATGATTTTGCAAACATATTGCAGACATTCAAAACAAGTGCAGTATAAACTCTCTAAACTCAATTTTTTGGAGTTAGGTACACGGTTTTGTATCTCAGGAAACTCTACTTGACTTGAGAATTGTCGTGGTATACTACAGAAGTTCAAAACATTCAAATAAAAATTCTGTTAATCTTTTAATTTTAAAATAATCTATGTTTCAATTTCGATTTACTTAAAAAGTTGCTCGTTTTCTGTACATACCTACATACGATTAGTA